GCTGTGTGAGGGTGATTTTCATAAAAAAATTTTTTCCCTTTCAAGCCATTTTGCAAAATTTTCCCTTTAATCTTTGTAGTAGACATTTCCTTAAATTTCTCTCTCCCCCCCTTTGAACCATTTCCCCCGGGTCTGGCCTTTGCTCTTGAAGTTGATCTATCAGCTCATCATGGTTATTCTCATTTCGTCCCCACCAACTTTTCCACATCCTCCCACAAACCCCCAAACCCCAAGGACCCCCCCAAATTTCCAAAATTTTGTTTCCTCAACGGGCATACCCTCTCAGGGTTAGCCCAACCCTTCAAAACCTTTTTGTCTACCATTCTGGCCACTTCTTAAGCAGAGTTCAAGGTCTTTTTAGTCACTCCCTCCCAAGCCTTTTACCTATAAGGTTTATACAATTGAGGAATTATAGTGATCTCTCCAAAACTCCTTAGAGTCATTGATTTTTCGAGGTCACTACAAAGCCCCTTTCAAACAGAGCTTTTGTGTACAGTTTTTTGAAGTTTGAAATAACCTGCGGGTCCATGGGCTGCGGGAGGGGATGGTTTTGGGGAGGAAAAAAACTTCACCTAAATGAAGCTCTTTTCCCCAAAAGTCGCTCTCCCACGTCTGTAGGATGACCGGGGCATTGTCTAACCGGGAGGCATTTAATTTCAAATTTTCTTTTCAGAGGTAATCTTTCACTTTGGGGGCAAATCTGTGTAACCAGTTATAAAAAAAGTCCCTAGTGACCCATGCCTTACTTTTTTGCCCCACGCCACACAAATTCCCCTTGAGGACATTCTTTCCCTGAACCCCTTGGGAGTTTCAGAGGATACACTAATAAAGGTTTTAATTTTGCAATCACCCTAGCATTGGAAACATCAACAAAGTAAGCCTGTCTTTCATAGGCTATGTCCGGGAGTGCCTTTTCCTCCTAGAAAAGTAGGTCCGCTTGGCATTTTCTTCCAAAACGGCCTGTTTCATCACAATTAAACACTTTTCGGGTTTCGTCCTTCGTTTCATTACCCCTTTTTAAATTTCCCTGCACTATTTTTCAGCCTTTTTTTGGGGCCCCAACGGGCAGCCTCACCATCCCCTTCACACTTTATGCCACTATTTCTTAAATCTCTAAAAAACCAACCTTTTCTGGCCTTAAATTCACTCACATCACACTAGTTGCGGGCCTTTTTTAAAATTAAATCCCATGCAATTTCCCTAGCCTTTTCCCGCTTATGATCGTTGAGAAACGTATCCCTGCTAGCTGTTTTTTATTTATCCACCCCAATAAGAGTCCCAACCTTCCTTCACTTGCGTCTCTGTTTCGAAAAAACAAAAAAACCCTTTTGGCAAAAACGCTTCCTTGATTCCCTTTCTGTTGCCCACAATAGTAGAGATGGTTGTTTGGGTTTTTGTCAACCTGCCCCAGGTGGTGATCCCCCATTTCATACTTATCAATGATCTCTTTCTTTCTCTATTGGAATTCAACCTTATTGCGTAGGGTTGGAATAGAAGCTTTTTTGGGGGCCCCAGGGTACTTTTTTTTCCAGATAAACACCAAAACATGTAATAATACAAAATTTTTCCGTTTGTATGCTTGAATTTACCGGGGGGAGGCGGGGCGGAAAACAATGCCACCGCAAACATATGAGGCGGCTCGGCCGCACAGGGACCGTCTCGGACGAAGGGCGCTGAGGGGATTTTGGGCGGGAGCGAGGCAAAATTTTAGCGATCAAAGCGTCCGGTTGCGGATTGTCCCCTTTTGCAAGGGGTCCCTATGCGGGGGTCCCCCTGTACTTGCAAGCACTAAAAAAAGGAATATTATGAAATATTTTGCGGGCCCTGAGGGGAACCTTCCTCACGGAAGCAAGCCAGATGGGTGCCGCCCCGGCTCACGCCGTGGGTACCGTCCCGGACAAACTTTTATCGGAGTCAAACCCATGAAAAACGATCCATGTTTATACGAAAAAACCCCTATATTGGCGAAATTTACATTGCCGGGAACTCGAAAAGCGGGGGGGGCCACTGTACTTTAAAATTTTTGCATAATTTTTATGTACTCTGATAATTATCTTTTTGTGTACCTGTAATACTATACACACACTGTGCTGGCAAGCAGGTACACATTAAAAACACTAAGGTGTCCCCTAGTCTTACTGCCAAGTACAAAAATTTTGTAATAATTCTAAGGACATAATAATTTAAACACTATTGGGAAATTAACCCTTTCGGTCCAAGGGCCAAAAAGTGAAGTGGGGCTCCGTGTCCCCAAAAAATTTTGAAAAAAAAAACAAAATATTTTTTTTTTACAGAATTAAAGGCATATTTTTGTGAAGTAAAAAGACAAAAAAAAAAATCTGATCGTATTACCGGATACATGCCAAGAAATTTTTTTCCAAAGATTGGTGGCGGCAACATCGACGAATTTCCCCAAAACGCGCATTACATTATTTTGTGGGTTTTTTTTGTTTTTTTTTTTTTTCCAATTTTTTTCTATCCCCTAACATTTGGGGCCTGAAAAGACCATTTGTATATATGTTTAATGAACTCACTGTATTTAACACAAAAACCGCACTAAAATTATTATCATATTTTTGTTTACCACTGTTGTTTATTACAATAAACTTGCACAAATATTGTATAAAAATAATGTTCTATCATATATTTAATTTTTACAATTTCTGACATGGTTTTAAAAATGCTGGAGCTTGTGGAAACCCCTTTGAAACAAGCACCTGCACAGAGGCACCTTACTTTCCCTCAAAATAAACCGAGTGTCTTTGGTTTTTGGGTTGCCGCGTTTTTTTTGTGCCAGAAAACGATTTCTGAGAAAAATTTCTTCAGTTGAAGGAAGCTGTATTATGAAATGACCCCTTTCCCTCCTCAAACGCTTGGGTATATCCGAGGAAATTCGGGGCCCATTTTGTATACAGGTGTTGTTACCGGGGTACAGTGGACCCCCGCATAGCGACCTTAACCGTGAAAGAGGGCGCGTTAGCGAAATGTTGGTATGCGAATGAATTTTCCCATAAAAAATAATGGAAATAAATTAATCCGTGCAAACACCAAAAGTATAAAAAAAAATTTTTTTTACCCAAAAAAATGTTAATTTTAGTACAACAAACTAAAAAAGGATGCCAATTAATGAAAAATTATTTTTTATTAAAGATCTGGTGAGTTAGGGGATGGGGGGGGGGGGAAGAGAGTTTTAGTGTTTAGAAGGGGGAATCCCCTTCCCTTTAAAGATTGAGGGGGAAACCCTTTTTCTGGGGAATTTTCCCTTTTTCTTTTAATGCCACAGACCAGCTTCAGAGTCACGGGAAACTTTTTTTTTCGCACAACATATCTGTCCATAGGGGCCCTTACCTCCTTCCCTTTTTATGATTTGTCTAAAGGGGTTCAAAACACGTCTTTGTAACGTCACCACACGGCTTAAATAGCTTGTGAGGGGGATTTTCACAAAAAAGGTTGACTTCAACCATTTTGC